TTCTGAGCTTATGTAATTCGCGTTCTTTTATAACATCATAAGTTCCGCTTAGGAAAATACATGAATGAAGAGTACTGTCGCACACGCAAGATTTTCATAAACAACACATCATGTTAAAAATTTATTCAAACGACAGAATTGAACCTTGTGTTCAACAAGATGGGTATTTATAAACAGCTCTTTTTACTTCAATCGCCTGAAAAGAAGAGATTCGTCCAATTTTCTGCGTGAAAATGTCACCAGTAACTATCATAAACATCATTCTGATGGCGTGGGAAACTGTAATAATAATGCCAAAAATATACATACAAATCTTGGAGATAAATGACATATAATTCCACTAAATATAATTTTCAGCTAATTGGTGTACTGATCCATTACGATAGATTAATTTCCTTTGTTATAGCAACATTTTCGTCACTGAAGTGATAAAGAATCAGAACAAACGGCGGATGTTTGCAGGCAGTGCGGAAGTAATGCGATTCAAACGAGACGTTGACAAGCTGCAGCTATCAAGACAGATCTCTGAATGAGATCCTCTGGGATATCAATTATTAACAATGAATGAAATTCTCCAGGATATTATTATTTACCAAGACAATTGCGCCGAGGAGCACGCGCCGAACGCGGGACACATGTGGGCCACGCCGGGCGGAGTCTGTACAAGTATAATGTTCACACTTGATACAGCTTACAGAGCGACAGGAAAATGCTGGCGACAAATTGTTTTAAAATGCAAAGGTCTAAACTAATAGGTAATCAATAATCGTGGATTAGAAGAAGAGCATAAAGTTAGTAAACGATTTTCAAAGGAGAAATTGCACGTCTGCGATAGACTTACAGAGTATAGTTTGAACGGTGAAATGATAGTGGTATTATGAGTGTGTGGTTATAAAGCACTTATCTAACTATTGCATTAAGAATCGTGGTTAGAAGACAAGAAACATTGATATCTTTTAAAGGGAATATAAATTAAGCAACAAACGACTGGGCGTTCATGTAGCGCAGGGTACCCCAAATTACTCTCCCTTACTGTAACAAGGCTAAATTAAATCACTAATATTCGTCCCACCTTGATCCCCCCCGGAAAATTGCTTAATTACTACCAGTCTGGGAGCTACTGTGGTACGGAACAGTCGAGTTTCCGCAGTATCACTCATATGTGTGCGGACGTGCATCCGTTGAAACGAGATTTGGCGGAACCAGGCAAGGCGAAAGTTTTGGCGGATGCTAATACGATCACGGCTGACAAGCTGAGAGCAGCCAATGAGAATTGTCAACGCGATGCTGCGACAACGACAACGAACTGCGAACGACCGTTTTATGTGAATTTTGAATTAGTAAACGTGAGTATAAATATAAAATCTGTACCTATAGGGAATATTTCAGAAAATAAACGGTAGCGGTATCAAATTTGGGACATGATTGGTAGATGAAACGCTGTCGCGAAAAGAATAAGATACTATAACAGTACGTATGACGATCCTATAGGACAATAAATTAACAAGAGTGAAAACATTGAATCTGAAATATCAAGGAGTGAAAATGGCAAACGATTTCGAACACAATTAGGACAATGATTCGAACACTAAGATTACTATGTCAATGAAACGCACAATAGCAAGAACGTCAATGCTGACATTGTCAAGACAAGGAATATCGAATATCCGACACAAAACATAGGACGCATTAAGCCTCAACAAAGGATAAACAATGAAGTATCAAGTGATGCAGCAGCGCATGTGTTATCATAGAGACAATGCATGCTACGTAACACGTGATCGCAACAATTTATAAGGCTTCATTAGTATGACAGATCACTGCCACCACCACAGTCCGTCATCGCTGTCTACCCAGAGATGCTGAAGCGGTCGTTACTTCTACGAAGATTTGCTTACTAACCCTGGTGAATCTGTACGTTCAAAAATCTTAAGGAAAAAATTAATATACAAGACGGCTGTAAACTCAAATTTAGCCATTTAAATAAATTTTCTACTACCTTAAAAATGATCAAGCTGAAGATTTGTGCAAAGAATCAATTCGCTTAGACTTAGAGCATCCGACTTGTCGGCGATATGAGCGATGCGGAAGCTATAGCGTCAACAGAGCCCAGACTCGACAACAAAAGATCGATAACAAAAAGCCACATGAAAGACAAAAGCTAACGGCTCCTCGTGTAAGCACATTCAATTGTTCCATTCACAATATATTAAATGATCGGATGACTTCCATACGATACATTAGAAGTAAAATGTCAGCAAGAGGGAAGCTTGAATATATCGTGTACCTTCAATATAAATTCATTGACTTAGTACTTCACGATCACATATCCTTGAAAGGCTGGAATAAAAACATTTCTAAGCTAGATACGACCGCATGGGCATGACTGGTTCGAAGACAATCAACATCAGTAAGTCAAAGCCATATAGTGCAATACGGAATACATAAAATTCGTAAATTTAAACTGGTTACCTTTGATACTGATACTGTGATCGAGATTTAGATTCTAAAACGTCGACAAATTGTCCGAATATAAAAGAATATGGTTAATCATATCTTGTAAATATGCCGATTGAGTTGGTACATAAATCGTTCAGGTTAAGAACGATCAAAATTATTAGCCGTACAATCAAAACTCGCTAAATTACACGTAGCGGCTGATCTCTCGTCTGTGATAGGTAAGTGTAGCTTGAAAAGAAGTCAGTGATTGACTGAGGAAGTTAAGAATACGCAAATATTTTTGATAGTACAGCCTCCGTACAAGCATGACCATTAATTTGGTTACAATTTGTGTGCCGAGCATCGCACAGAAAGCGACGACGAAATGTTAGGACCAGCGTAGACGGCAAGACGCTCACGGGCGCGATGAGAACACATACTTCCTATACGGTGACAACAAATGCTTCCTACGCGGTGACAACAGATGATTCCTACGCGGTGACAACAGATGCTTCCTACGCGGAACTGAAGCGCCTACGTAACAGTGTACGATACCAGAGCAATCATTAGTCGCTACACACGCGTCCTAGAAGATCTAATTATACTGGTAAACATATTGAGGGGAAGAATAGAGCGGATCTTAACAGGTGCCGTTCATTGACAAGGTCGAAGGATGTATCACGGCGGCAGCGTTGATCGTTCCGCAAATATTGTAGAATTAATTGCACGTCATCAATGATAGTGTAACTCGATGATTAAATATATATGTATGCTATAACGTTCGTCGTCACTGGAAGTTTCAGTTTGAAAAATGCATCTTCTTAATCATTACCTCTATATCACGAATACAGCGTCTCATATCAAAAAGATGAAGCAAGTAAATTCGTAAATTCATGGACGAGAAAATAAGTCTAGGTGGGATGAACTTTAAATTTCAGGTGCCGTTCATTGACAAGGTCGAAGGATGTATCCCGGCGGCAGCGTTGATCATTCCACAAACATTAAAGAATTAATTGCACATTATCAATGATAGTGTAACTCGATGATTAAATATATATGTATGCTATAACGTTCGTCGTCACTGGAAGTTTCAGTTTGAAAATGCATCTTCTTAATCATGACCTCTATATCATGAATACAGCGTCTCATATCAAAAAGATGAAGTAAGTAAATTCGTAAATTCATGGACGAGAAAATAAATCTAGGCGGGATGAACTTTAAATTATCAGCCCTGAGTGCAGCCACTGTGCTCCTGAGCCTCTGATGTTATGGAGAATCGCGGTACATATTCATTATATATGTTCAAGTTTGATGAAGATTAGAGAATAAATTTCATTGATACGGTAAATCTTTTGTTTATCTTTTTATCAATAACTCAAACAATACTCTCTCCGTCGGTCTTGGTAGATCAAAAATCAGTTTACCAAAAGACATTTCAATGTACGGTTCAAACTATCAACATTTATTATAAAGTTATAAGCCGTATATTGGGCAACGAAATTTGGATGAACATATGAATAAAATTACGTAAGTAAAACTATGCTCGAAAATTAAAGCCAAAAAACTAAATCAAACTTGAACAAATTCTGCCATCCTATACTAATATCCCCATAGCGCACCGTACACTCGGATATAGTTGATAGGTCGAGAGGAGCGTACAGTGTTCGAAAATACAGTGGGGAAACGGTCTTACCGGCGTTCTAGTTAGTATAAGTAACCAGCCGCCGTGAAAACAAACCGTTTTGTCTTTTTTTTTTAATGTTACACGGGATTTCTAGTGTAAATTGTAATAAAAACGGCAACACGGTGTGTGTTTTCACGTGCCGGCCGGTTACTGAAACGCTGTTAATACCGTTTAACGATGATTTTTCTAACAGTGATGATGGAAGAAATGTTCGGAAGAACTGATAGACACAAAAATTCGTGATTCTACCATGTAGAAAATATTTGAATAATTGTGAACAAAAAAATCTCATTCGGCTTTCAATTTTGTCAAAATTTGTGGAAAATGTGTACAGTTTATAGGTACTCACCATGTCGGCAGTGTGTCGCGGCTCTCACTCAGGACGATCTTGTCTCCCGAGGTCACCAAACCATCTGCACACCACGAGACATCATCAGTTTATGACCGACAGAGAGGATGAAAAAAAAAACTAAACAAAAGTAAATTTGATGACCTAAAGAAAAAGTTGAAAAAAAGTTGGGAGAACCAAAGTCGACACGGATTAAGGCAAGTTCGAGTCCAGGCGAAGAAAGTAAGAAACTGTTGACGAACAAGACGCAATTGAGGGCGTTAACATAAGGGGGGTTAACATAACTAAAGGGGGTTAACCTAACTAAAAACTGGAGGCTAAAAAACTACTGCACCCAGTACAGATGGCTCAGCCAGCCACTGCACCCAGTACAGATGGCTCAGCCAGCCACTGCACCCATTACAGATGGCTCAGCCAGCCACTGCACCCAGTACAGATGGCCCAGCCAGCCACTGCACCCAGTACAGATGGCTCAGCCAGCCACTGCACCCAGTACAGATGGCCCAGCCGGCCACTGCACCAGTAAAGATGGCTCAGATGGCCTCCGTCACTACTGAGGTCCGAGGACGCTAGCAGAGGTCGCAGTATCGCTGATAAGGGCAGACTGATAAGGAACAAACGGCTTCCGAGTACACGGTTGAAATAGCAACGTGCTAACAACCAGTTATTTGTAGAGTTTTTAATGTGTATAGTGTTATGGAAGCTTAGAAGTGAGGCTCTCTGATATTAATTGCACTTGAGGAAATTTGGGCGATAGTTTAATTCACACTTCATTCATTCTTTCACACATTCATTTATCACAAGTTGTCAGAATAACGCCTTATGTCGCGTGCACGTCAATGCATGCAGACAACACGAAAAACCGGCAATTAGCGCAATGTGTGCGAAGCGCTTTCGGGCGTACCACTTAGAATAACGAAAATAACGTGAAACAAAACGCGCATAACATTTTCAACTTTGACGCTACAAACACGACCTCGACACAAGCACGGCCAAGCCACCAACCCTAAAAGCCACCACCCCTACAAGCCACCACCCCTACAAGCCACCACCCCTACAAGCCACCACCTCTACAAGCCACCACCCCTACAAGCCACCACTCCTACAAGCCACCACGCCTACCAGCCACCACCCCTATAAGCCACCACCCCTACAAGCGACCACCCCTACAAGCCGCCACCCCTACCAGCCACCACCCCTACAAGCGACCACCCCGCCAGGGTGGGGGCGGCGTAGCAAGGCCAGGTGGCAGGCTGCGCTCGTCGCTGTGCGTATACGCGACGAAGGCGGTGGTAATTGCGGGCCTACAGAGGCAACGCTGGCCTCAGGAACAGGAGGACAACAGGAAGGGAAGAGAGGTGGAGGACAACAGGGAGGGAAGACATGTGGAGGACAACAGGAAGGGAAGGGAGGTGGAGGACAACAGGGAGAGAAGACATGTGGAGGACAACAGGAAGGGAAGAGAGGTGGAGGACAACAGGGAAAGAAGACATGTGGAGGACAACAGGGAGGGAAGAGATTTGGAGGAGGAAAGAGGACAAGAAGGAGGGAAGAACGTTTGAGGAGACAGAAGGACAACAGGGAGAGAAGAGAGGTCAAGAAGGACAACAGGGAGAGAAGAGAGGTCAAGAAGGACAACATGGAGGGATGAGATGTAGAGGAGGGGAACAGAAAGGCAAGAGATGTCGCGGAAGCAGGAGTAAAACAGGGAGAGAAGAGATGTGGAGGCAGAAGGACAAATAAAAGAGGTGGGGATCTGGTAAAGCGAGGAAAGAAAGTATAAGGAAACTAGCTACAAACAAACGAAAGAAGGGAAAAAGGCGGTGAGTAAAAACGCTACGAGAACGAGGATGAAGAAAACGAGGAGAAAAAGATGGAGGAGGTATCGTTCCAATGCGTGTTTTTTCTTTCAATTCGGAGGCCTTGCGAGACACCTGCCGGACTCATGCCGCCGCTCCGCACCCTTACCGAACACACGCCACACTCAGCTGCGACCGCCACACTCAGCTGCGACCGCCACACTCATGTATGATGTGTAAATACAGGACAGCGTACAGTCATGCATGTTCATGAGGAAGCTTCACTCGTATCCACTCGTGTACACGCTGTACAGTCATGAACGTTCATGTGCATACTACAATTAAATGCACTTGAATGCCTGCTGTGCAATCATGCTAGCTTGTTGCACGTTTTACCTGTAAGATATTGATAAATTACATTGAAAATTATGATATACTAAAAGAAATTATGATATACTAAAAGAAATTATGATATACTAAAAGAAGACAAAAATATCACAAGAATTTGAAAAAACTTTATCAGTATATGACTTCATTTATGTTTCGTAAATTCTGTGGCACGCATCTAATAACAACCCTAGGTCACGTTAATAGCCATGGAGGCAGATCATCTCGCAGGAATACTCCCTAGATTGGGTCATCACGCCAAATTGAGATAATTAGTCGTAGATTACTCAGATAATATCTTCAAATAAATCCATTTATATAGTATTCATGTTGACATATACCCGAAGCAAAAGAGCGTCTCGATTGAGCAGTAGCCATGGCACCTAATGCGTGGACGCAACCTGGCTAAACAACCGGGGATACGAAAGCGGTGTAAACTCGTCCCGATGGTTCAAAATTATATTCATGAAAACGTTAACTTGCTTGCATCGTACAAATTAGGATCTTTGATTATGATACTGCAGCCACTGGCCGCCACTGTATCCCATCGATCGATGGCAAGGAGATTTCAACACGCGGCCAGCGCAGTATCTCGCAAGACAAGACACGCGTCTGCCGACGCGATGTCGACGGCATTTAACACGAGCCAAATATTCTCAGGCTCTTAACACTACACGATTCAAGACTTGGCAGCAGCAGCAACCACGAATAATTTGATATATAACGAGCTTTATATTTTTGTTGGGGCTTCAAGAGAAACCGAACCTATAGTAAGAGAGTATATGAATTTACTTACAGAAAATGAAATACGTTGCTGTGATTTTGAGATTGATGGCGTTTAGAAATGCGACTCTTTTTCATGTGATTTTTAAAAGTATTAAAGAGACTCTCGTATTCATTATTTTACAACAAATACATACATCATAACATAATAAATGAAGCACAGCATAAAACAGTTGGCTTTCTTCTCAGAATGAGAAGGCATAAAAATCTAAGATTTCTGTGGATGCCCGTAATTGCGATGTTTGGTCAAGGAAATCAATTGCGAAAACTTGAGACAAGAAAGTCCTTGAATTAGCAGATAAACTGTGATAGTTAACCCAGAGAAGCAGAGCACAACAAAGAACACGACATCATGCACTATTTGCAGCTCAGTTTATTCGCAAAGCAAACGAAAAGCGAACTACTGAAGCGTTTCAGGGCGGGCTTGAAGGCCAAAGCTCGACTGTTACATCGTTGCAATAACACCAAACTCTGGGCAATCCAGTCAGAGCCATCAACAAGAAAAACATCAATAAAATACATGCGTTAAAATATTAAACAGAGCAGACATTTACGGGCGTGGTTGCTTGCAAGCTCGTCTCAAGGATGAACTCACTGGAACGCACATCACGGCTCCGCAATCATGAAATAACGTAACAATTTTTTGAAAAAGAGCAATAGAGAAATACTACTGGTGAATCTTTTACCAAATAATATAGTAACAATATAAAGACTAGTATTGCAACTCTCAAGTCTATTAACGGTGACTACCTTATGACATTATGACGAGTCAAGACTTTTTAGTTCAATAGATTCATGTCCCTTAGCAGTGAGTAGTAGTGACAACGGATAGTGCATCCATTGATGAAATGTTGATACTTAACCAATGATAGGTAAATAACCTCGATGTTTGAGCCTGAATGCAGGTAACTGACGATATTCATGCCTGAATGCAGGTAACTGACAATACTCTTGCCTGAATGCAGGTAACTGACAATACTCTTGCCTGAATGCAGGTAACTGACAACATTCTTGCCTGAATGCAGGTAAATGCACTCATAATATTCATACTTAAATGCCTCTAGAAAAGACCAAGATAACAATCTCTCAAAATTTTTGTACCTATACAGGTGAAGAATTCACTGTGAATAATCAGTCTTTACATGAACATGTCGTATAATTGACAGTAAATGAAAATGACTGTAAATGTAAATCCACAAACAATGTGCATTATAGTTAGCCAAAAAGATTATGAATGCATGAAAAGAAGTCCAATTATGATTATAGTTTCAGCTTGTTGAAACAAGGGAAATATATTGATTGCCAGTAATGATGTTCTCATCTAAGATCTGCAAGTCAAGAGAGCAAGGAGGCATGCCATGGGTCATTGAGTGCCAAGACAGATGCCAAAAAGTGCCATAGGAACAATTGAAGCTAAAACTTTAACTGCTATTCATCAGCCAGCATCAGTCAAGAGCATTACCTTATTTTCATTAGATTTATTCTTATCAACTCTGCAAAAATACAGGTTATTTATTCTTCTGACACCTTAACTTCAACATACTATTCAATAACATATGATTAATTTTAACATAATCATTTCTTCAAAAACGTACAAAAATTATTAGGAAATTATTAAAATACTTGATTAAATTCATGTCAAATAGCCTTGTAGCTTTTACAATAATTGCCAATGATACATCATTATGCAAATTGCAACATTATTGCTATAATTGTAAGGCTTATAAGTTATAAGCCATAACACATGACATGATTAGCTCTTATTAATTACTATTGTTATTATCTTTACTATTAATAGTAGTATTTAATAGTAATATAATTACTATTCAAGTTAATCAGAACACTTCCAGAGTTCCAACCAGATTAAGAGTATTGAAAAAATTCCTCATTCAACTTTGTTGGTAAGAGAGATATGTATAGTTTTTAATAGTTTTTATCGAGTCATTTCAAGTGCAACTACAAAGTAAAAACTAATTTGATTGTAATTTGTAACAAATGGAATGTGGATGGGAGTTGCCATTTGGCTTAGCTATAAATTACTTGCCACTTGTCATTAAAAGTCATTTATAATTTTATATCATAGGCATAAGTTATCATAATATAGTCAGTTAATAAAATAGATCTTTGCTGGTATTGGAAGTCATCATATATACAGCAAGTATGCTAAGTTAAACCAAGTTTAGCCAATGTACCTAGTTAATTACTGAGAGAAAGATTATATATGAAGATAGACTTACCTTATAGCGACCAGAGTAATAAAAGATGGGGATGCGTTGAGCTAATCCAAAAATTGTAATCCGATCAGTCAGGCTTAAAATTAAATCACCAATTTTAAAAGTATCACTGAACTAATCACAATTACGCAAACGGTCACTGTAGCACAACTCTAATCACAAATTAGACGGGGCGGTTAATGAGATAGCTAGCTAGATGGGTCCACACTAATGCCAATGGGCTAAACTCGTTACACTGCAAGTTAATCGATTAAAGAATTTCAGTTTGATGTTCGAAAATTGAAAAATAAATGTCAAAAGAGGTCTAATATATAAATTCTTTTCGCTGAAAAGTTTGGAAACGATAAATATGCATCAAGAGATTGGTTAAAAATGGATAAGCGTTTTCGAAAATTTAGTTATCTCACTAACTTACGTTAATTCTTCAAACGTTTTCCCAAATAACTTTCAGACAAAGAGCTTCGATAAATGAAAACAGCAGAGGTAGCCCGCGAACCTGTAAAAGAAGGCTAACAAAAATGCTTGCGAGGAGTCAGACGAATTAGTCGCGGTAGTGCCAGTTCATAACAGGTTTCATTATAGAGGCACACATACACCAATTCTCAAATGTAGTTTTTTATAGCAGCCTTAAACCATCTGGACGATGTTAGGTTCCATGCCAAGCAAGACTACAAATGTTCAATACAATAATATTATTCTGACACCTCCTAACCACTTGAATGATGCAACTTGACGTTGATTTTGTTGAATATAGCCTTGGAAACAAGTGTAAGCGCGGATTGCGTAGGACAACGTGCACCTACCTCGATGTTTTTATAGCAGCCTTAAACCATCTGGACGATGTTAGGTTCCATGCCAAGGAAGACTACAAATCTTCAATACAATAATATTATTCTGACACCTCCTAACCACTTGAATGATGCAACTTGACGTTGATTTTGTTGAATATAGCCTTGGAAACAAGTGTAAGCGCGGATTGCGTAGGACAACGTGCACCTACCTCGATGTCTCTAGCGCAACTGAGCCTTCGCAGTCAGAAGTTCAGAAAACGACTTCACTGAGCCGCTGCAACAACGAGTGTGGTGCTTCCAAACTTTACAGGACAGACAGGTTTTTGTTCTAAAAAAATTGTGCCAGGATTGCAAGGCACAATCAAGCAAAGGAGTGAGAATGCGCAATAGAAAACTGACTAGTGGGAGAACATAACAAATTTTGAAGGCTCGCATTCAGTTCCGTTGGATCTCTTGGCAACCGTAGCCATCAAGTAAAAGTAATTGCGTCTCAGCAAATTACAGACTCTTGCATTTTCGAAGGCCAATTTTATCCAAATCAAACGAGTGAAAAAAGTCTTGTTCCAAA